CAAGAGTCCTCTCGGTGCTGGGGTGAAGTCTGGCACCGATGAACCTCTGCAGCCTGCAGGCCTGGCGTGGGTGTCGCCGCATTCCCCCAGCCCCCTGCCCTGTGCCAGGGCACATTCTGCACCTTCGGTTGGCTCCCCGGGAGCTGCTCGTGCTGCTTGCCCCCCATCACAGCCCCAAGCCCTGCTGGGTGCAGCCAGCCTCGCCCGGGAGCAGTTCCCCCGCCGCCCCGTGCAGCACAGCCACCTGCCCACAAACGTCCGTTTCTGCTGCTCTGAGCTGTCCCGCAGCCGCACACACTTGGACGTGCAAACCCAGTTGTTCTTGACTCCCTGTCACGACGTGAAGCCTGTGTCCTTTCCCAGCAGCTGTGCCCATCTCAGCAGTTCCAGGAGGCCGTAAACTGCAGGAGAAGACTCAGGGATCGCCTCCAGCCCTGCGTGATGTGCAGCGGCAGCACTGCCAGCCCAGCCTGATCCCAAGGGGTTGGGGGCAGTCTGTTTGGAGATATCCACCCTGTTCCTCACTGTCCCCTGGGGCAAAATACCCTCATCTGGGCAGGTACAATGCCTATGTACATGCACACACAGAGCAGGGTCCACTTACAACCTAGGCACAGCAGTTGTCTCAGCAGAGCATCTATCCCAAAACGTTCTGTATCCTTCACTCCCATCCTGGGATCAGTGCCTGCACCCACACTGAAGCAACGTCCCAGTCTGAAGGGGCTGGAAAGCCTGGCCCGCTGACAACTGGGGTGGGACTGCATCTGCTCAGCCTGAGCTGCACGTCGGCTACAGCTCTGCTGGGCCAGGACCAGCAGCAGGAGGTCCTGGAGGGCTGTCTGGCATCTCCTGCATCCTCCATGGCCTCTCAGAGGCTGGGGAGATTGCTCATCATGCTGGAGTTGCTGGAGAGAGGTGCTCTGGGCCGGGAGTTCAGTGCTACAGAGCTGCGGAAGCTCTCCCGGTAGCGCAGGGAGCTCTCTGTGGAGGAGCCAGAGTTGATGTCTGCGATGACCAAGCAGCTCCCAGGCTTGCAAAGCCCAAGCCTGACACAGCAGCAGCACAGCAGGCTTCCCACAGCACGGCGCACGTCCACGCTCCGCAGGGAGTAGATGACGGGGTTAATGCCCGAGTTGAGCATGGCCAGAGCCAAGGTCCAGTCCAGACTGTGTAGGTGTGTGCAGGTCTGGGTCTCACAGAAGACATCAAAGAGCAACAGGACAAAGAGGGGGCTCCAGCAGATAATGAAGGCACCCAGGATCATCAGCACGGTCTTGAGCAAGCGCAGGGACCGCTTGCGGCTGTGCCGAGAGCTGGTTTGCTTAGAACTGGCCTGGACCAGCTGGAAGATGGAGATGTAGAGGCCGATGATCCCCAGGAGGATGATGCTGAACATGACTACGGAGAAAAGGATGTAGTTCTTGGAGTAGAGAGGCAGGAGGACAGAGCAGGCATTGAAGTCGCAGAGACAGTTCCAGCCCAGCAGCGGAAGCAGTCCAATGATGAAGGCCAGCAGCCAGCAGGAAACGATCAGGCTGCGTAAGCGCAGGGTCTTGCTGGCCTCGTTCTCTGCAATCGGCCTTACCATGGCGCTGTAGCGCTCGATGGCAGTCACAAGCAAGCTGAAGGTGGAGGCAGCCAGTGCGATGAAGAGGATGCCTTCTCGCAGGAACCAGAGCTGAGGTGAAAGCTGGAAGGTCTTCTTGCCCGAGAGGCAGAGGTTAGAAAGGTAGGCAACCCCTGCAAGCAGGTCGCTCACAGTGATGCTGGCAATGCAGGAGTAGACCCAGCGGCGGGCTCGCAGACACCGCAGGATGGCCAGCAGCACAAGCAGGTTCTCCAGGATGATGATGCAGCTGATGATGGCAAAGGTTGTGCGGACGAGACCCATGCCCTCGTCCCCAGACTGCCGGTTGGTCAGCTTGCCTGTGAAGTTGTAGTGCTGCAGGATGATGTTCACATTCCTCATGGCAGCCAGCTGCAGGCAGGAAACTTTCCTGTCGAGCAGGTCAAGTCTGAGCTCAGGATGTTGAGCAGAGCCCAGTGGAAGGGGAAGAGAGCGATTCACCAGCCAGCTCAGCTCTGGACCATCCATCTTCTGAGCCTAGGTTAGCAGCCAAGGGATGCACGACGGAGCAAAGGTTGAGGCGGGGTTTGGAGCAGAGCAGATCCTCTGTTTGAGGACAGCTGTGAGACTCTGCCACACACGACCAGCGCTGAGCCCAGCAGCCCTGCCCAGCATGGAGATGAGAGTTAGAGCCCTGTCTGCCCGCCCTGCGGCACTGAAAGAGCGAGGGGAGAGGAGGGTGAGGTGTTTTGTAAGTCCATGCATGAGCATGGGCTTCCTGTTGTTTAATAAAGTTTCCTGTTGTGAGCTAGAGTATTGACATAATTTCTAACAGCTGTCATCATTTCTCAGTAAGGGTCTGGCTATTCTCAGCTCTGCTGTGGTTGTGAAGGTGGGACATGAATGAAATAATATGTTGGGCCCCTCTTTGAGTCGAGGCAGGCTGAGTTGAATGGGTAACACCTCCCACCTTAATGGGTAGGGTCTGCTGGGCTGAACAAAGCCAAATGCTACTAAGAGCACCCCGACAGCCTGAGACACTAAGTGCTTTGCCTTTTGTGGCGTTAAATTCACCCGTGAGCCTGGCAGAGAGCAACTGCCTCTTCATCAGCTGCCCTGTGCATGACCCATGCCCAGATGCATCCTCTCCAGGAGGAGGCTCCATGCTCTCACCCCTCTGGGCTCCTCCATGGGCCCAGCTCCTGTCAGTCTCTCGGGACACATCCCCCAAGTCCTGCCCTGTCCATGCAGCGAGTCCAGCGTCTGAAGCTGGGGCTCAGCTCCAGCCGGTTCAAAGGAAACCAGCTGGTCAGTGCCCTGCATGGGCCAGACGCTGCACCCTCCACCTTCAGCTCCCCAAGCACCTGCTGGAGGTGGGTCAGGATCTTCCCGTTGTCTAGGTCACAGGCAGGGACACAGAGGCACAAAGACGCTGCCTTTTGCCTGGCATTGCAGAAGGCGCAAGGGGCTGCACTGAGACCAGACCCCGGGAGTCCTGACGTGATGGTAATGTTAATGTCCGTCCTTGACCTATCGCTCCTCCTGCAAAACTGGAGAGAAAGTCTTTAACCTGCTATTCCCAACTGCAGCTGTTGAATTTGCCTTACGACTCACCTGTCAGGACTGGCCGAGGCTCTTGCTGCCGGAGGGAGGCTCAGCAGCTAGCCGTGCTCTCCAGCTGCTTGTCTGAGGCCCAGCACAGAGCAGGTACTGGGGAGGGCTCCTTTGCGAAGTGAGACTTCTACCTAGCAAAGTGGAAAAGGGGAAGTTGCAACATCAACCACATTTCTGTGCAAGATGGACCCCACCCAAAACAGCTTCAAAGAGGCACAGAGAGAGGAAAGACAGAGTGCCTTTAACACAGAATCACAGCAGAAACTGTGCCCTGCTTTCTGCTTTTGTCTGGGTTCTTACACTGAGAGCAAAGAGCGGTGATTTCTCCCATCAGCATGGCAGCAGGGAGTTGTTCTGGGAGTCCATCCGCTGCTTGATGAGTGGAGAGATCCCAGCCTGGATTGCAGCGTAGACAAGTGGACGATGCAAAGGAGGTTCCTG